GGGGTCGATGACTTCGGAGTGGAAGACAGAGTTGGGGTTGATGGCTTTGGAGTGGAAGGCTGGGTTGAGGTCGATGACGTCAGTGTAGAAGGCTGGTTTGGGGTCGACTCTCTTTGGGAACGCTGGGTTGGGGCAGAACTTTTGGTGTTGAAGGCCTGGTTGGGCTCGATGCCGCCACCTCGGGAGTGGAAGTGGTAGATGGGGGAGGCATGAGTTCTTGATTTCTGAACCGAATGGGAATGCATCTCTCTTGGAGGTCATACAGCTCATCGTAGAGTTTGAATATAGTCGTTCCCTTGATGACACAAGGATCGTCAATCGGGGTCTTGGGTACGGCTGCAGGATCAACGATCCAACGGGAAGGGTCTTCTCGAAGTAAAGACCAAGGTATCGCTTCAGTCAATCCCGTTGATTCTGTTCACGCAAATGAAGATCAGTTTATTGGGAAAAAAAAAGTGATGACGTACTCCACACCCCCTCCAAATAATGTCCTAAAACCTCGGCGCAATGAGATTGTACCCATGAGTCATCGTACTGTGGCAGGATGGGATTTCCGGTCGAGTCTTTGGCAAGCGTGATGGCGAACTCATTATTGGGGCGCGCATGTGGTCGTTTTCTGAGAAAACTGTCAGGAAGTATAGATACATAATAAAATGAACTCACGGAACAATGCCTCGGTTGCGTACTTGATCCAGGCCTTGCTAAGACTTGTGTATGTTTCGGGCTCGACATCTTTGAATGCTTTGTCGTCGAGCATGATGCCACAACAAATACTGATACAATTGAGTTAATCGCAATAGTAGAACATATTTTTCGAGAAAAAGATCACCTTGTCGATTGAACGTTACCCTCTTTATCAAGATACACCATCTGGACGTGGTACGTCGCATCCCCAACTTGATTTTTGCCCATACCGATTGAACCCTCAAGGGTGGCGACAAGAGTATCTGCCATAATTTCCTGGTTCCTGACAATGCGAAGTCAGAAAAAATTGAAAGAATGTAACGAAAGTGACTCACTCCCAGATAGACTCGACTTTATCTTCAGCAGAGACTTCCTTCAGCTCTGATGCCTTCTTCTCCCATTGCTCCTGCTCTTTAGAAGATAGCGCTTTGAACATTGCTGCTTTCAGTGTGGATCGGATGCCAACATTGTTCTTGGTCGATGCATCCCCACGTTTCTCTGCAACAGCGGTGTCGAGGAGTATCTTGTTCTCCGGAGCCTTGGCCCACAAGTCAGCTGCATTCTCCGCACGCTTTCTGGGAAACTTGATGATGGGTGGTTGCTTCTGAGACATCCTCGAGCGGGCTAGAGCATTCTGAAGGTATTTGATGAAGCACTGTAGAATCACGTTGAATATGAAAACAAATCGTATCAAATGAACATTGTATTCACCTGACGAGCGTCTCCAGCATTGGCGAACCGCCACTTGTTGACAAGATCCTCCGCTTTCTGCTTGGACCACATGTCGCGTTTCTTCGGGTCGAGCTCAAGGTAAGGGTCAACATGACCTTTCATCCAAGCACGCTGCTCTTCAGACCAAGGGAAGGGGGCATGGTTCTTCTTATGTGACTTGGCTGCATGTTGGTCGATGAGCGTGTTTCCAACTCTCGAATTGTCAGTGGTACCGAGACTGCTCTGGTGAGGCATGATTGCTGTAAGGACACCAAGAGAGCGCTCTTCTCAATATATCTGTTCCCGCCTTGACTTTGTGGCATTGAAGCATGACGATGGCTTGAGTGGTCGCGCGAAGAATGAGTCTTGAATGGCTGGTGGCCCAGTTTAGCTACTTTGCGTTGTGGCCAAGTTCAGTGAAGAATGAGTCTTGAGTGGCCGGTGGCCAAGTTCACTATTCTTAAAGGCGAGGTGTTCCATGGACTGCTCAATGGACTGCGTAACATGTGAATGGAGACAAAAGGGGTGGATTCGAGAAGAATTAAGACTACTTATGAATACGCAGGGCCACGGCCATAGCCATGACCTCCGATCCTAAAACTTCCTCCAACTCTGGCATGTCATCCAGCTCCAGCATACTATCCCCGAAATTCAGCGGCATTGTCGATGGCATAGAGGTGGGGTGTGTCGCATTCTTGAGGGATGCATAAGGGCAAGGCGGATTGTGGCTGAGGAGGTAACGGTTGCTCGCTGATGGCTGTCGGTAGGTCAATGCGAGAGGATCACTGGATAGGGTTAGTTCTCTAGATCAGGGGGACTGAATTGGTTTTGCACCTTAGACCGTCAAAATGTCCTTGTTCTAGCTGATGTGCAAGCTTCTTGTAGTTTCTGTGGTGAGGATCCAACGCATCAGCAGCTATGGTTGGTTGAGATAGTAACGAGATGTTAGATAGTTTGAAATGAGAAAATGGACAACATACGAGGCGAAATCCCCTTTGACGACATGGTGAAAAGGAAGGGAACTTGGCTTCATGCCTATCAGTATTCAATAATGTCAATCAGCATGAATGGAGTGTCAACTGACCTTGAAGTTTGATCAATGGTCCATGCGAGACATGTTCATTTGTTGTTCTTGGATCTTGACCCCATGATGTGTGATCAATGAGTGGGCATGTTGCTGGGAATGGTGATGGAGCATAGCCAATGAAAATTTCAAGTATAAAGGCTGTGAGTATTGGGCAAGGATGTTGTGGACTACTGGGAAAGGACGTTGTGGACGGCGACTTCAAGATGTTTGGCTGTATTGTGCACTGGCAATCACGAGTCGCAATCATCATGAACGCGCTTACAACTTCCAAGCTAGTCGATGCGATCAACATCGATCGCCAACGTCAATGCCAAGAGGTTTGGTTAAGGTGGGTTCATTCATGAGGAATCGAACATTATTAACAACATACTTCGACAGTACACATTTGAGATTCGAGCACGATGGCGGAAAGGAGAGATCCGGCAATTGCTACTTGCATTTACTAATTGTACACCGCCAATTGTCATACAGGTCCACCCATTAAAACACAATCCCTCTTCATGTGCTTAGATTCCTTCACAATATCATCCCACTCATCTTGCGCCTTGCGTTTTCCTTTCAAATCCTGTGATGCAGCTCCCGCCGTAAGCCTGGAAGAAGAAAATTTGTCACTCTTGCGAATGAAATTGGTGACATCCGGACAATCCTTGTCAGTAAGATCCAGCTGTCGAAGAATGAAGAATTCGCCGGCCTGAACTTGGAAGCTACAATAAGACGGCAAATGTACGAATTCCTTGAGGTAAGTATCGTATATTGCATATCTGTTGTCTGGGAAGCCAAGCGCCTCTCGCAGTGCGAAATCGGAAAATGGGCTGAATGCTCCATCACGCAGGGGGGAATACCAACGGAAGTGTGCGTCATTTGCCTGGATTATGGCAAGTGGGTTTCACAGAACAAATAGAGTAAAGTTATCGTTCTTACCGCAACATATAGGATGAGCAGAACATCTATGCCATCTGTTATTTGTGGGTTATAGCATCTTTGAACACTCATTGCGATTACTTACCATGAGCTTTAGGTATTTCCTCAACATCTGAGTTGGAAATGGTCAACTCCCTGTCGAGAAGAGTTTGAGATGACAAAGGTACACTTTGGAAATCTGGTTTTGTTTCGAATTTCAATCGCAATCTCACAAACATAAAAGACAATAACACACCGATGATTTCGACTTCGCTATCTGAATCGTAGTCTGGGACGGCTTGGGAGGAGGAAGGTATGTTTCGGATCTCTCCTTTAATCATATCTGAATACAATGCTCAACAATGAAGATAGGGTGACATACCAATGATTTCGCAATCTGATTCGCGACTTACAACACTCTCCACATCAGAAACTGGCCTAGCCAGAGTTGATGGTGGGGATGTAGCGAAGACAGGAGAAGAGAAGGTTGGGATCAGGGATTGTGATCTTTGAATACTTTTTCTCCCATTCTTGCGATACTTACTGATCTTCTTTGATTTTGACTTCTTAGCGTCCCAGGTGTTGAGCTCATGACGAATCAATTTACGTTCGTCATCTGTGAGCTCTGTGGACATCAAATTCTTGTAGTTTTGACATTGACTCACACCATTATAGGTGTGGCACTGCTTGTCAAGTAAGTCCCACTGCACATGAATCGTAGAGTGCCTTACTAACATAGAAGTACCGTCTTCCGAAGTCAGATGGGTTTTTCTTCCCCATCGAAACTCGTAGAAAATGGAAGTGGTTTGCAGGAGCTGGCGGCATCTTCCACTCCCCAATGTACAAGTCAAGAAGTTCGAGTAATTTCTGTTCACGAAGAGACTGTGGCATTGAGAATGAGACAGAAAATGGTCATCTACATACAAGACAGCTGACATTAAATAAAGAATTCTCAATTGTATTTTGTTCAGAAATCGTTGTCAGACGAATAGAATAAAGGCTTTTGTTAGCCGTCTCCAAGAGCTTCGGACTTAACAGAGATTGATATGCTCAAGGATTATCTCAAATTTCCAAATGTGCCTTGGAATGACGCACATTTACTTCCTGATCGCATGATCGGGAAGTGAATGTGCGTCATCGTTTTGAGGTGCATCACACGAAGGTGGCATCAATCAACAAACCCAAATAAAAGCATCAACGTGGCGCTTGTTCAACGTTCAACGTTCAACATCGACTCACTTGTTTCTCCAGCAGTCGAGAAACTACATGGCTTGCCAGGCGCCTTGGTTTTGCCAGGCCTCTGCATGGGTGTAGCTCTCAACTGTGGCTCCTCGGACATAACCATCATGCCGCTCGAGGTCGAATCCTCTGAAACAATCGACAACGGGCCAAGATCTCTTTTCAAGTCATCTAACATCTGGTTTTCTCGACCAAGGAGTACCGCAATCCGCTTGCAGGCACCCATTTCTCCTGAGAGGTTCTTTACTGTTACTTTCATGCAGGTAAGGATCATCTACGCTCTTCGTCAGTTTCAACTGATCCTCCTCACACTTAAAGCCTTTTCAGGTAGCGAGTGTAGAAGTTAAAATTTCGCGCCACCCACTAGCGAGATCAAGAAAACGAGACACCACTCAAAGATCGTCACCCAGCAAGCCTCACAACCTTGTGTATTGATGTGGCAGATGACCATGGACAGGAGTGATCGCCGGATACTTGGAGGATGTAGGTCCGTTCAATGTTAAAGTTTCAGCCGTTGCTGATGTGCCCTAAGGTCAGCAGAAGTCAAGTTGGCTCGATAGTACTGTTCGGTGGGGCCATGATCTCAAACATACCACGGGTTGTTCGGAGACTTGGCATCTCTTCCATTCCGCTTGTTTGCATGCCCTGTATATGGGGCCATGCTGTGTTAGTCAAATTGATTTGGTCTGGTAAGTGAGATTTCATCTGCTCCACTCCTTTTCTTTTGCTCACTAGTCCGACCTAGAGCTACAATTAGTGCTTGGAAGTTAGGTTAATTAACTGGAAAATAACCGAGACCAGACCGGACCTAACTGCAAAAAAACCGGACCGCAGTTAGTGGTTAGTCAATTCTGGAAATGAAATAACCGGTTATTTTGCGGTTAACTAACTGTTAAAAAACCGGTTATGACCGGTTACAACCGACCCTATTATACCCCTTCAAAACGCATCTAAAAGCATGAGAAACACTGGGAATCTGACAGAGTTATGGTCAAATCTCTAAATTATTGGCTAAAATAGTAGGCTTTCAAGAATATTATTATAAAATTGTCAATTCTTCACCGAATTTAGCGTTCTTGGGCTTGTTTTAAAGCTACGACGCATGGCAATAATGTTTACTGCAAGGAATATGAGAAATATACGCCGTTTTAATCGATTTTCTATTTTTTCGGTCCTAACTGGTTAGTAATTGCAACTAACCGGTTTTCATCGGTTATCTTCGGTCCAGTTAGGTTATTTTGGGTCTGGGAACGAACCCTAACCGGTCTCGGTCTCGGTTAGAGCCCCTGGGCACCCAATAACCTAACCTAACCGGACTTTCAAACACTAGCTACAATTCCTCAAACTTGCAGCGCGCTTTTGATAAACAGACGGCCTGCAAGGTGACATGTGATGCCTCGGATTAACGATGCTTGGGTCGGCGGTGGAACGGTGAATGTCGGACACTCGGCATCGGAGAGAGGGGACAGCAGACCAGCGTACACAGTGACGTAGGCCAACTTTCAGCAGGTTTTCAACGTCGTCATGGGGCAGGGAGTGCTGCGTGGGGGTTGAATCAGACGAGACGGCTGTTATTTCACCTTACAACCACCGTTTACGCAACAGTGCTAATGGACTATACATACTAGTTCGGACTATTATTCCTAGTCCCTTTGCTTGGCAAGCATGCGCGTGGTTACAGTGATCATTCTTCAATCAGTAATGTCTTACTTTTATGAAAGGCCCAAGATCACCAGGTGAGTTTGGCCAGTATGACATTAGCTGCGTGCAAACTTCCAACCCCAATGTTCTCTAAAACTGGTCGATGGACTAGTGTGAAGAAAACACGTCGACATGAGGATGATGCGCACTATAATTCAGAATCAGAGCTTGAACTCAAAGGCCTTGACAACAACCGAGGGACAAAGCGTGTTCGAGAGGAGGAGCCGCCCGCAGGTCCAAGTGCAGAGGCAAAGTGTCGATACCAGGTGCGCACATGTCTGATTTTTTCTCTCCCAGTACTTATTATCCTTCCAGGGTGCATCTATCGAGATGGCAAAATGGATGCCTGAGCTTGGGTACCTCCTCAATTTGATGTTTTCACGGGAAGTTGGACCCAACACACCATGCCATTGTGGTTCTGCCCCTTCAGTTCGATGCCAAGAATGCGAACACAACCCTTACTCATGCCGTGAATGTCTTATTGAGGACCACATTCACCAGCCGCTTCACTGGGTTGAAGAATGGAATGGTCAATACTTCGCTAAATGTTCGCTCTCAGCTATTGGATCTGTATTTTACTTTGGGCACGATGGAGCCATTTGCCCCCACACCCCAACTAGTCATCAGGGGAAGTCACTTTCAATGACGATCCTTCACACGAATGGAGTCCACAGTGTTCATGTTTTGTGGTGTCACTGCCCCGGCGCTGGTGATCGTATCGATCAGCTCATGAAAATCGGGTGGTTTCCAGCTACTCTCAATAAACCAGAGACAGCTTTGACATTTAAACTATTAGATGAATTCCAAATTCATCACCTTCAATCCAAGAAATCTGCCTACGATTACTTTCTCGCTCTTGTACGCCTCACCAATGGTCAGTTTCCCTCAGATGTTGCAGTGAGTTTCTCCATTCATGTCAAGATATGCTAATGACAATGTAGAATCGATATCGGGACCTTTTGTGTATCGCACGCATCTGGCGCCATCTTATGTCAATGAAGCGAAGTGGCCATGGCCATAGCTTGGATCGATTTTTGCCTCATCAAAGTCCTGGAACACTGGGAGCAAGCTGTGTCGCATGCCCGCATCCTGGTTTCAATATGGCACCAGACTGGAAATCAACTCCAAAAGAGCTTGCATAGGTCCCTACTAATATTTCCTCCTATTTACTAAATTAACTTCTGACAAGATATATCCATCGGCTATTCTTAGCTACGGATGGAAACTTTCGGTTGCAGCGAAAGGCCAAAGTCAATGATCCTGATGATTTTTCCCTGAATGCTGGTCGCGGATACTTCGCAAATGAAACCAAATTTCGAGAATATATTTGTAAGATTGAAAGGGATAAGCCTGTTGACTACGATAAACCAGTAGGTGTGAATTTTTTGAGTGTGGATAATGCTGAAAAAAGGCTAGCCAGATACATGTAGTGGGTTCAAAGCAGGAGACATGAGACGTCTTACCCAACAGAAGGGAGTTGATGTCACTGGGATCGTAGCAGTTGTTTGTGCTTGCCACGCCATCTTCCGTCCAGGGGCAATGGTTGATCTCTATGTTGGAGAGCGGTACATCATATCATTCTGCAACCATGTACCAATTACTCACATCATTCAATAGGTACTCACATGTTGACTATGCTGTCGCTAACGCCCTATCTGGTGTACCTCCTGAGCTCACCCATGGCTGTAGGACTATGCCTTATATACTGGACTGGTCCACCCATGCCTATTGCATAGGGGATGGAAATATCCAGGCTCTTTGGGATGTGGACTGGTGCAGGCCACCCTACATGATATATTGCCTCTCTGTATTTGTTTCTGTATTTGTTTTCCAGCTGATTTGTCAATATTAACAAACAACAAATACAATTTTGGCTTCAATGAGAGTATTTTGTCCCTTGGCCATGTTCCTCTGCAAAAGAAGGCCAGAATATATATATATATAGATCTGCAGATATTTTTATGCATCCTAGAATAGTTTCCCCCGCTTCTCCGTGCCCAGAATAGATGGATGTGGCAAACCGCATCTGGATGTCGTTTGGTATGTAGGGGCCTCTGATAAATACATGTCAACAAACATCTCCGTTGGCTTCAAATGAAAGCATTTCATCCCTTGCGCATGTTCCTCTGCAAAGGAAGGCCAGAATATATATATATATATATCTCCAGATATTTTTACGCATCCTAGAATAGTTTCCCCTGCTTCTCTGTGCCCAGAATGGCTGGATGCGCCAAACCGCATCTGGATGTCATTGGGCGTGTTTGGGCGTGTTGGATGTCATTGGGCGTGTTGGGGCC